CGTTTCTCTTGAAACGATATTTATAATTTGAACTGAGCTTCAACTTGAAAAAACCATATGTCGGTTTATAGTCAAAAAGGAGGTATTTTTACCTACCTTATGAAGCTCCGGTGATTGCATCGTATCTTCGTAGTAGTTTCGAAGAGTCATTTGTTGACATTTCGAAATTAATCAGGGTCACACGATGTAGCCTTGGCTACTAATGTTTAAAATTAATTTATGACTAGGAAACAGCATGAATTATAAACAAAAGCTAAGTTTATTGCATTTATTTCCGCTATCGAAATGCAATGCTACGAGCAACGTTTGAAACCAAAACCTAGCAATCATGAATCAGAATAGTTGCCATTCAGCATAAAGAAATTTAAATAAATATGAATACTTGTGCCATTCAGCATAAAGAAATCTAAATAGCATATCAAAATATTAAGTAGCCTTTCTAAATATTCCCCACAAAATACGTTTTAAAGTCTTGCTGCAAGGAGTCTCTTATTTAATCTGTGACTAATAGGTCTCAAATATTATGCGGTTTTCCATCCTATGATTTAAATACTAGTTTTGCATGAGAAAATGTTTAACCCAAATTTTCTTTTCTTCTAAACTTAAAGATATCCAATTGATCAGTTTATGCATATATATTTGTGCATTTATTCTTTCATGTAGGATTGACCATTTTGAAAATATTTAAAATTCTGTACAAACCATTATGATACAATTCAATATAAATAATGATATGATAAATTAAGTAACACGTTGAATCAAAATTTTGGCATGTCCTCGCCAACAGATCAGCGTGACTAGCTTGCTGATGGTGGGGGGGTGCTCAGTACAAATATAAAAACCTCTATGCCAATAAAAGATAACTGTATGACATTGTATCAAGTGTTTTTTAAAAATACAAATCCTACAAATAAAATCAAATCTTACAAAATTAAATTTCAAGACAAAATTATATACACGTTATTTTTTTTAGAAATTTAGAAATGAGAAATGAATATTACAATGAGAAGCAAGAAATGAAAAAAATTGTTACAAAATAATCGAAAATTATGTGAAATAGTGTAGTGTTATGTGTGTACACTTCTATGCGAACTATGGTCGAGATCGGCTGGTAGAAAAGTATAAAAAAAACCCCAAACAGTTTCATGACCACAGCTGATTCGCCTAACAAATTAAAAATAAAATAAAATAATAAAAATAAAAATTTTGAGGGGTTGTTAAGAGTATTACCTAGGGGGACGTCGGGCGTGTGCTATCATTTCTTACTTCCTCTCTAAAGAGAGGACGCAAGAAGTAATACACATATATATTGTGTCGAGAACAGTTTAGCAAACACATTCATTTTTATTGAAAAATCTGGTATGAGGGCCAGATTTTCAATAATGCAATGCACAAAGTGTATTAGTGCAATGCAAAAGGGGTTAGAGTTTTCCCTCAAGGGGGCTCAAATTTTGAACGGAAAAACAGAAGGAAAGGCAGGATAGGAAAGGAACCAGACTGGGAAAAGGTGAAGATCGGGAAAATAATTTATCATAGTTGGAGTTTAAGTCTAAATCAGGTATTAAAAGTCATGAACAGGAAAAAAAAATTAATAGAGAATTTTTAAAAATTAAAATTAAATTAATTTTGGACAGAGATAGGAATTATACTATATAACAGTTAATTTAAATTCATTTGCTGGATTAAAAGGTCTTAGTCTAGTTGAACGAACAATTTCCGATTTCTTTTTAGATGTAAAATATAAAAAATACGATGGCTTTGCTCTATGCAAACACACAACCTGTAAGTAACTTTCCGTAATTTAGGATCTTTGCCCTTGACCAGTACCTCCCAGAATTCTCTAATCAGTTATGTAACCACTTGTATAAATAGCGAGCTCACGCCATTTTGCAATGCTGAAGAAGCTTCCTCTCTGCTTGCACTACGCACCTTGCTGCTGCTTATGCTATCTTTCCTTTGTTAGAAACATTGACACAGGAAGCATAAATTTCATCGTACTTAGTTTAAATCGTTATGGAATATGTAATTTGGAGAAGTTAATCTGAAATCTGCCATTTGAATGGAATAAAGATGTGTAATTAAAAGATAAATAATTTCTTGTGTCATCATTGGATTCAGCCTTACCACTCTGCTACAGGAATGCCTGCCGTATCATAAGAGTTATTAATTAGTCGACAGGCTTAAAATATAAAATATATGATGGCTTTGCTCTATGCAAATACGCAACCTCTAACTTTCCGTAATTTAAGATCTTCCCCCTTGACCAGTACCTTCCAGAATTCTCTAGTCTGTTATGTAACCACTTGTATAAATAACGACATAGAAGAAGCTTCCTCTACCTTGCTGCTGCTTATGCCATCTTTCCTTTGTTAGAAATATTGATGCAGAAAGCATAAATTTCATCATACTTAGTTTAAATCATTATGGAATATGTAATTTGGAGAAGTTAATCTGAAATCTGCCATTGAATGCCAAGCGAAGAGGAAGCTTCTTCTGCCTCACAAAATGGTGCGAGCTTGTTATTTATACAAGTGGTCAGGTAACAGACTAGAGAATTCTGGAAGGTACTGGTCAAAGGGGAAGATCCTAAAATACGCAAAGTTATTTAGAGGTTGCGTGTTTGCATTGAGCAAAGCCATCATATTTTTTATATTTTACATATATATCCCAGAAGCTCATATCCAGAATGGGGTCCTTAAGTATGGAACTATGAATTTTACTGATCGAAGAGTAACATTTGTTCAAATGAGGAAACTGTATGATAGTTTGGTTGAAAATAAAGTAACTAATAAATAACTAATAATAACTTTTTGTTTGTTTGTTTAAAATTGGACAAAATTCAATTTTAAATTTCATATTTTCAGAAAATCTGTAATATTTCAGAGAAAACTTTCATGTGTCCTCTTTCGCAAAAAGTCTTTTCCCCCCTCTTTTTGTTAGGGAGAGATATGTAATAAAGCGCTCATGTAAAAACTGAAATCTTTCTTTGTATGCACTGTCTGAAGCAAATGTGGTAAACCAATGCAAAGACCATTGCAAAAAAATCTGAAATGCAGTATTAAAGAAAACTGCTTTTGATTTCAAAATTATTTCAAAACTGCAGTCTCTGCTTTAACTGATGATAGAACTGAAACCACATGCTTTAACTGAATCTTTTATCTGACTAAATGATAATCATAAGGAAGAATACTTCCAGTTTTTGCCATTATTATTAAAAGGTGTTATTTTTAATAATTAAAAAATGTTAAGAATGCAGGAAATTTAAAAAAAAAAATTCAACTTCTGAATGATAATATGTATTATGTATATATGTGTATTTTGTCTGTTTTTTTCTTTTTTTTTCTTTCATCCCTCTCAGCCCTCTCCCCTCTCCCCTTTTTGTAAGAGGCAAAAAAAAACAAAAAAAAAAAAAAAAAAAAAAAAAAAAAAAAAATTAAGTGTTTTAAATATGAGTTTATTTAATTAACTCTCTGAATACTCTCTCTTGTGAGTCAATCATTTTTCAGGCATTGGTCTAGGATATTTCTTTGTGACAAATCCTTGTTTGTGATATAAGCTTTATAAGAATAATAGGCGATAGAGATGAGAGTACAAGAGTTTCTCAAAATGTTATCTTTGCCCTCCCTCCCCCCCAAAAAAACCGCATTATTTACTGAACAGAAAGTAAGGCATAAAAACTAAATAAGCATGTTTTTACATATATTTTAAACAAATGTCCTTATAAGAATTCTTCGAAACATCAGTTTGATGATATTGATTTTCCAATATGTGTTTCTAATAAATGCAAGGGAAATGATTTTATATTATTTAGTTAGACTTTAAAATACTGCTGTTAAGGAAGACGAATGTAAGAAATTAATATCTATTACTGATAGATAATATGTAAAATTTCTATCATGTAAAAAATAAAATGCCAGATTTTCTTTTAAATTGGCATAGAATTGGTCTGGCTGAAAATGATGTATACGAATTTAAAAAATTCTATTTTAGTCACATTTTATACAGAAAGTCATATAAAAATTCTTAAAATATTAAAAAAATCAGATTGTGAAACAGTAAATGTAATTAAATTGCATAATTTCTTTTTCTTTATGGGAGGGAAATGTATGCAATGATAAAATTATGTTTTACATATTTCATGACAGTTCTATGTAAGTAGTTTTTTGCATAATAGTATTCTGTAATATTGTTAGAAAGCTTCATAAAATATATATTTTACATAAAATATATACCCCCCTAACCTCAGTACAAAAATCTGGATTTAAAAAAGAAATATTTGTGTTATTTTCCCCTGTCTTTGAGACATTCAGAAAGCAAGGTCTGCTAACTTTAAAAAGGAATTCATTCATATATGGTGGTTATTTTCACCTTACTAAATGATTTTCTTGTGGATTTTGGATGTATGGCTCTGATTCATGGAGAATAATCATGAAGAGCTTCAAGAAAAATTAGCATATCTAAAGCCCTTGATGTTTCTGAAGATAATTGTGTATGGGAAGACAGACTGAATGGTCACAATGCATTTGACATGTACACATAAAGCTCCAGCAACACTGAAAGATTTGAGACTTAGGAAATAGCAGTAAACACCAATGAGGGCTACCGAGATTCAAAGTACAGGAAAGTAGAAATGAAGATATCTTATTAGATACTACAATGTTAATATTACTATATATTCTTATTATAATGTAGGTGCATTTAAATAAATAATGTGATAAGTAGTTTATCTATGAATAATTTTCATTTGTTATGTTCTTAATGTAACTGTGTACTTTAGAAATTAAATTATTCCCATAATTTTCCCTTCTTGATTTTTGTGTGATAAAACTAGCAAGAAAAGATGGTAAAATATGGAAGTAAATATAGAAATAATCAGCTTATGCATGTTCAAAAAATAATTATTTAATTGTATCAATTAAAAATTTTTAAGCACTATTTCAGATTTAATATAACTGTTTTGTTTTATTTAAATTTAATTTCAGTTTACTTGAATATAATTATCTTGATTTAGGACTTTGCTGCTGAAAAATGCTCCATGGCGTACAGAGCACCTGAATTGTTTAATGTTGAAAGTCATTCATCAATAGATGAAAGAGTAGATATTTGGGTATTTATTTCCTTTTCTTCGTTTAACACATTTAAGAAAAAATGCATACATCTCTTCTAAATCGTGTTTAGTGTTAAGATGTGATCAGTATAGAATACTGAGGGTGTTTACATAATTTTAGAATGAATTTAATAATATAATACTCAAAATGAGAAATATTGTCTGCTACTTTTAAATTTATTCTTCTTTCAAAATGTGGTTTGTAAACAAGCTGTGGATTGAATGATATGTTTGCCCTTTCTGAAGAGAAATACTACAATGTTAATATTTCATTAATAATGTTATAATTCATGTTAATATTTATTTAATTTATAATAAATTTCTACATGTAAAATAAGCAGCATTATTAACTGGAAAGGGAAAAACCAACAGTCATTACTTTTGTTAGGGGGGGGGAAAGAAACTCCAAATGAATCCTGAAAAAGGTGCATGCTGTTTGTAATATTTCTAAAATAGCTAGTAGCAAGAGAAAATCTGCCTATGCAGAAATCAATTATAGTCTTTAAATACATCTGTAGCAGCAACAAATAAAATAATAAACAAATATTTACCATTTATATACATATATATATTCACTAGTATGTAATTTGAATTTAACAAACATTCTCTATCAAAATCGTAAAAAACAACCTTGTATTTAGCGTAGGTATAATGAAACACTCAATCGATTTCGAGGGCAGCTAAAGGTCCCTCCTCATCAGGAGAAAGAAATACATAGAAAGAAGAAAATAGGAGAAGGAGTCACCTATTTTCTTCTTTCTATGTATTTCTTTCTCCTGATGAGGAGGGACCTTTAGCTGCCCTCGAAATCGATTGAGTGTTTCATTATACCTACGCTAAATACAAGGTTGTTTTTTATGATTTTGATTGTCACATTAGCGTGTTTCTCTTCTAGTCTAATTTAAAGTTAATTTAAATTAAATTTGATGCAAACAAATAAATGATTAATGTTGTTGCAAACTAATTATTTAAAATTAAATTTACCTTTATTCTTTAGAAGCACTAGTATATAATATTATAATTTATATATAATAATATATATATAAGTAATATTCACCAGCTTTTGCTGAGATGTAGCTCAGTGCAGAGCAATTTGTAGAACCCTGTATGAAAACTGTTTAACAAGAGATAAATGGAAATACATTGTTATGCTTGATGAAGCATAGGTTTATCTAAATGGCTAAAACAAACAAACAAGCAAAAAATGCTATTATCGAAAATGAAGAGAAAAATTGTACAAACCTGGTTCTGTTCATAAAAAGTAAGTTTCAGTAAGAGGTTTATGATTTTTGTAGGTTTCTCTTAGAGTGGAATATGCCTGCAAAGTCTCCTGATATTTCATCTGTGGATTATTGTTCTTTTGTTCACTTGAAAAGAGCTCTTTCTAACCAGAAACCCACCGCGATTGATAGACTCTGGAAAGTAGTGGAAGAAGAATGGAAACCAATAAACCCGGAAATTTTATGGAAAGTCCTTGTCATGGAAATCATGATGCAGACTTAATAATAGTTCAGGGGAAAAAAAAAAAAAAAAAGCTTTCAGATTGAATATTTCAAAATATATTCTTTACATTTTAAACATTAATTAAGCATCTCCAAAATCATCTAAAAATGTGTAAACATCTTCTGTATTTTGTAATTTATCTGTAAATATGTGTTTGTTTAATTTACTCTTTGCATAACATTTCTTGTGTGTGCTTTCCATCTCTTCATCAACTCCTGGATTTTATCCAGCAGTTTTGAGGTATTTAATAATTTCTTTCAGAATAATTAATATTCCAATGTATCTACTATGAAATTATGCACTTTAAGTGAAAAGTTTGAAGAACGGACAAAAACTTTGAAAACATTTCATATAAGTATATAAGTATACTTGCTGCTTTTTTTTTTACTTCCTTGTACGAAAAGGAAGTATTGTAATTGCGAAAAGTATCATGCAGTATATTTCAATGAAAATATCCATTTTGACCGCTATTAAATGCAGTTTAATGATGTTTTTGTGTGACATCTGTACGTAAAAACAGAATAAAAGACTCTTTTCCTCCCAAAAAATTGTAAAACTGTTTTAAAATGAATTCTGAAGAGAATTTTTCACGGTGTCTGTACATACATACGTATGTATCTCGCATAACTCAAAAACGAGTAGGCTCAGAATGTTGAAATTTTGTATATAGGACTGCTATAACATGTAGATGTGCACCTCGTATTTTGGTTGCAATCGGCCGCACCAAACGTATATAAATATATTTGTACAGTCAAAAGTCTTTAATCCAAACTCGTCGAGACTTCGGCGATTCTGGATTATCGATTTTTCCGGATTATAGATCATCAGTTTAAATCTGGGAAGATGGCATGCAGAAATTATAAAATTAAAAATATGAAACCATAATTTATGAAATAAAGAGTAATTATGATCTAAAGGGTATCAAAATTTACAAAAAAAAGCTTAATATTTATTTGTTTACTTTATTAAACATTTCTTTCAATGCGCGCATGCGTAAAGCATACATAATTACGCATAGTCGAAATAAGAAAATTGCAACCAGAAAACTATTTGATTTGTATTCGTGATATTTATAATGACGAGGAATTTGATTTAAATCATATCAAAGATGGAGTACATCGAAATGAAATACTACATTACAAGCCGAAATTATAAGCCAAATAAAATAAAAACATCTGCCCTGATGATGAGGATAGTGCTGACAGATCAACTTCCAGTTCATTGCGCGCCGCGATGTTCTCCCCTTCCCCGCTCAGAGCAGTGTGAAATTGATAAACAGATTTCGGAATGGTTGAGAAACAAAGGAGCCTTTATCCATTTTTTGCAGCAATTCCACTTTTTGTTTGATGGACATCAAAACATGCTTTCCTTTTGCAGATCCAGCATTTGAAATTCTATTTGACATAATCGAAAGTTCCAACTTACTTTTATAAAATTGCTCTAACAGTCTGCAAAAAATAATAAGCCGGTTCCAATTCGAAGATTAACCGCTTGCTTGATTATCCCGAGTTATCTCGGGTTCGTATATATCACAGTTAATTATTATCCCGAGAAAACTCGGGCGAAGCAGAATGCTTTAGTACGATTTCTTTTAGCACGGTTTTACTCGGTCTGGAGGAAATGAAAGGAAATATTTAGCTTTGATTGGCAGTTTGCCAAATTTTGTTGGTTGCGCGGTTCTTTTGGAAGGACTGGTCGCGTGTTTCCCTATTGTATAGTATACGTTGGCTTGTGGACTAGTAATATATAAAGAAAGATGCATGCGTTGGAAAAAAATAAAATAATGGCGATGATGGAAGATAGCGAAAGCGATGATTTTTCAGATAGTGATTATGAAAAGGTTGGGAAAAAAAATCAAAAAATAAATCAAATCCAACGAGGCAGTGTACTGTGCTCCCGTGAAAGAGATTCCAACGATAAGCCAGTAAGAAAAGAGACCAGGTACCAGTGTAGAACGTCAGGTACTACTCTGTGCTGTCTCTTGTTTCAAAAACTATCATACAAAGATTAATATTTAACTTTTTTTTGGTTTGCCCGAGATAACTCAGGATAGTAAACTAATATTAAAAATAAACGCTTTTACACCTTCAAAAAATTAAAAATGCAACTTAAAACCTACATATTTTGATTTGTTTCGTTTTGTTGTATTTAATAATAAAATAAAAAAATATGATGATTGTTTGCAATTTTTTTCAAAAAAAAATTGTAAGGAAAGCGATTAAGGAACAATGCAATCTGCAACATTAACTGAAATAGATAATTAGATAATTTTAGCTTAGCTTATACCGTCCATTATACATTAAACGCACATGCGTAAAGGTATTACGCGCATGCGCATAAAATGAGCTTTGAGGTCCGGATTAATGACTTTTGACTGTATATATATCCACTCTGTTACCCGGCTCAGTGATCTCAGTTTCTTTACTCTTATATGTTTGTAAATTGTGCATTTTTTGCTTTAAAAATGATTGAATTATGTTGTTCTTATCTTCCGGTTGAAGTTTTATGCCTTAAGGAAATCTGCAAGCAGTATAAGTAGAATTATAACAGTTTAAAAGCTGTTTAAGTTCGGTTAAGCCTAATTTTTAAATAACATGGTGGACATGTTTGTTTACATTTGAAACAGCAGAATAGTAGAATTAATTGCCAATCTAGAGAGACTAAGCTTCGCAACAACAAAGATAACATCATCATTTATTATTGCGAATGAAATCATGCTTAATTCTTTCTGGAATTTATTAAAGGAAATAGGTGTTTAAGATTTACTTCATGATTTTTAATATTGATAGTTTGAGGTTTTATGTATTTTTGCCTTGTTGGAAAGTGAGAACGGAATTAATTGAATGAAAAATACTGAATCGTCTGTGAAAAACTGTTTCTTTTTTGTTTTGTTTGCTTAATTTCTTTTATACACCATTCTAGATTTATTATAGTATTTGAATAGAACATGTGGCAACGATTAGATAATTTTTCAAATGATGTAAATTTTGTGCATTCTGAGTTATAAAAGGAATGAAATGTAACGCTGTTAAGTGAACATAGCGCCAGAGTGTAGCGTGCTATTGATGAAGTAGATTTAATTCAATCCAATAAGTTTAAATGAAATGCAAGAAAAAAATGTGTATAATTTAACATTCCGTACAAGGAAGTCATGTGGTGCGCACATCATTTTTTTTTTTTTTTTTTTTTTTTTTTTTAGAGTGTAAAGGATAACACTTCTTTCAAATGTTAGAAAATAACAGATAGTAAACCAATTTCTTAAGATTTCAATTTAAGAAATCGCTGGAGCTGTTTCCCATCTTGATGTGACTGATGTATTTTACTATGATGAATTAATGTAACTTCTTGTTTCCTTGCGTTTGGATTTATATTGAAAGCTAAAATCCTACTTCATTTCAGAAATAGGTTTAATTAATATAACTGAATGTAAATATCATAGAGAAGAAATTCAGTTACTTTATTGCTATCACAGATTTTATTATGTGGAACTGTACACGTACAATAAAAGTCATAGCTCTTATGCTTGTTGAAATTAAGGTTTTCTCTGCATTATAGCTCCATTTATATGCATTATAACTCATTTTGTACTTGATTCTGTGTGCCTTATAACTTGTAAAAAATCATAAAATATTAATCTATCATCCTAAAATACTTTTTTATTCAGTCATTAGGTTGTTGTTTGTATGCCATGTGCTATTTCAAATCGCCATTTGATGCAGCTTATCAAAGAGGTGATAGTGTAGCTCTTGCAGTCATAAGTGGAGTGATTGAATTTCCAGAAATCACACCGTAAGCCTTTTTCTTTTGAAAACATATTGTGTATTTTTTTTTAATGCAGTAAATTGTGTCTGAAATATCCGTATTTATATTGAGATACTATTCAACTGAAAATGACATATCCTATTTTGAAACACTTCATATAGCATAAAAATCCGCAGCAAATACAAAGCAAATACAAGCAGATATTTAAGTATCTCCCATATGCAAGTAATCCTATAAACATAACCTCCTTCATTCCCTGCCAGAAAAGAAAAGGTGCTAATATATACCAAATGTAATGAAATGGTGAATTTGCCTCCAACATTGCTGATATATCTAAGAACCAGTAATATGACTATAAAGTAAATATCACTACAATGTTACTGTATTCCTAATACATACTAATATATTATTCTGATCTTCATATCAGTATAAATTCACATCACATAATTATATTTAACAGAAAATTATTTATATTTATTTATATTTTCCTAACAAAACATTTCAAAGAAACTTGTTACAAAAGCAAGTATAAGAAAAGTATAAGAATTCAGTATCATGCAGCTGCTAAGAAAGTCTGCCTATTTTAATGTAAATAAAACTGTAAGATGACTATCTCTAATTTTCTATAGGCCATCGATACTTTTCCCTGTAATAAAATATATCATTAGCTTCATTACTTGCCTTTCCTCATATATATTTAGTTTTCTTTTTGAGAAATAGATGTAAGTAATGGTTTAAATGTTCTATGGCTTATTATCATTTTTATGATGTTGTAGGTAGCTGAAGTTCTTGCTGGTAAGAACTAGATAGAAATTCAAGTATTATTCTTCCTCTATGTGCATGAATTCACTCATTTTTTTCATAATTTTAAATGAATTCTTTCATAATATATTATTATCATTTTTACTGTAAAATGGACTGTTTTTAATATTTGCATTCACTATGTCTTTTTTTTCACTATATTTTAAAATATGTTGAAAATACAACAGAATGAGATTATATTTTCCAAACTTGAAAACTGAAATATGTTTTCAAGTTAGTGTTTGTAGTATTCACAATAGAGTTAGCAGTCTTTTTCTCCTCTGTATATTGATATGACTCCCAGTCTCTTAACTTAACCACTGATTTGATTTTTCAAGATTCTAAGAGAATATTTTGCCATTTCAGTACATGCTGTATTGATTCATGAAGTTGTTAACTATACTGTCTTTCACTATAACCTTGATATTAATCACAAGCCAATAATTCTTAAATTCAAATCAATATATTTGAGCCCTATTTTAATTACTTGTAATTCTTTTTGAAGTACAGATGCTATGTCATTTTATCCAAACATCGCTATTAATTTCATCTGGTTATCTTTCAAAGCACAACTGTATATCTACTCTGTCGTATATCGTTAAACTATTTGTAAATATTCTTTACTGTCCTATATTTTTCCGTTAGTAACTTTTATTATCAGTGTAAAATCATTGGCATAAGCATTCAGAATAATGCTATACCTGAAATCCATTTCCAGAGCTATGTTTTGCATTGAGTTTTATATTTTAAAAAATTAGTCCAAAATTCAACCATTGTGACAGTCAATTTAAATATTCATTCTCTACATCTCTGTTGCATTTTTTCAAATATTGGAAAAAATTAGTAACTTTGATCAGAGGCTTTTATGGCAATCTGTATGTGTTTGTCAATCCTTATACATCAGTAAATAATTTGAGTTCTGTCATACTTGCATTCTGTTTTCTTATTTCATATGTAATGAATTATACCAAAACACTAAATTTGAAATACTAACTACTGTGTAATCTTGATTATCCAAACTCGTATATGCACGTTCAATACTATGCACAAGAGTGTTTTATTAACAAACGTACAAGTCCGAGAATTCTCTAAAATTTGCTTAATTATGTCTTTTAGTTTCAGTGATTATTTCATACAATTCGTACGTTCTAAAAAAAAAAAGTAAAATTACTTTTTTTTTTTTTTTTTTTTTTAAGAAATAAACATATACAATGTGCATGAAATTTGATAATTTGAAATATCCCGTTACCTGTTTCCTTGGTATTAGCCAGCATAATCAAAAGTGCAGTATGTGTGTCTTTGATTTGCATGCAATTTATAATAGTAAGAAGGGATCTGAAAACAATTTTAAAAAAATAAATATTGAAAGTGGTATTTTATTTTTAAGCATACTTTAAAGTGGTAAAATGTTTTCACCTTAGCCCATTTTTTTTTAAATCTCTCCTTTCAATAATGGTTAAAAATCGTATTTAATTTTTTGAAGAACTGGTATTATCTTTGTGTTATCTGTACCGAAAAAGGAAGAAAAGGTTTAAATTATCATAATGTTATGTAAGGAAGTTTTTCTTGTCATCAAGATTAAGATTTTATTTACTTAAGGTCAAGATTTTTTTTTTTTTAATCAAAATTACTTTGTCAATAACTTTTGGCTGCCTGATTTTCAGATATTTCAAGAATTGAAGTTTTCTGGAAAGCACTGTATTTAAAAAAAAAAAAAAAAAAAAAAAAAAAAAAACATAAATTAAAATTGATTTAAAGTAACTTTTTACTTAGATAAGTACTTCAAGAAGATAAAAATTTATTATCTTATTTCATGGACAAATAATTTTTTGTCTTTAATAATAAAAGAAAGACTAGGCAGTTAAAAAACATCCTTAATATCTTTTTTAATGATGTCACATTTAGATTGCAAGAGATATTTTGCCAGGTAGATGTTTAATTATTTCATATATTATAAAGTTTTTATTGTACTATTACATGAAGAAATTGAATATACTGTTGTTATTTCTATGCTCTGCAGTGCATTAATATGTTTATTTTAAATATTTTCACAGAAATAAATTTGAACTCTATTACAGGTATGGAAATGGTATGCATAATCTCGTCAAATCAATGTTAGAAGTTAGTGCACTTCAAAGGCCATTCATTGATGGGATACTTTTTCAGATTGACTCATTACTTCCTGTTGTACAGGATAGAGTGTGATAATATTCTAGTTACTGGAACTATGAAATAAGAATGTGCCAGAAACAGACTGCTGAATATGACTTCAAGGTGCATTTTTTATATAAACGATTAGGAAAATCACCGAGTTATAAAATGCGTATTAAATACCAAATACCATTTTTTATTGAATAACCAGTGAAATAAAATACTTTATAATCTGAATTATTTTATTGACGTCAGATTTGTGCTTAAATTTTAAGTTATATATTCTTGAGTTATTTTTTCACAATCAGGAAAATTATAACTCTTTGATTATTAGACAGAATAGTAATCTTGTCTAATAATGAGTCATTTTTTCCACAAATATTGCTTTTAAAGTAAAAAATCTTAATAATATTCCCTAAATTGGATTATAAATATTGTGTGAGGGAAACATAATTGATTTACAAGTTGACTTGCAGTGCAGGTATGTAACTGTAGTCAAACAGCAGAAAGTGTGTTGAAAAGGGTTGATATTAATCCTTTCACAATGGGTGCCTCAGTCACCAAAACTTGTAAGTACACTGTCTTTGGACAGTGTACTTACAAGATACACTGTCTCACTGGAACATTCAGTTTACGCTGCTAAGCCTAACTTTGGAAAATAATTGCATAAATTAAATCTATTGCCCAATTGTTTCAATTTTGGGCATATTATGAGAGGAAAACTCAAGTATTTATCAGAATTAATTGAAAACTTTATCACTGTATTTTCTTTGCTATTTAAAGTATACAAAATGTTTTGCTAAATGATATCTAAAATATTCCTCTCAACACTAGCTCAATTCTAAGAGGAATGATAAAACTCTCTAAAACAATAGAACATATATCCCCATATTGCCAAAAATAAAAGCAAAAGTATTCAGGAGTATCAAGAATATCCCCATGTGTTCATATCAGCTGATGCAGTTAATAGCCAGCTCTATCTGTTTACATTATTCAACCCATGATTTCTGCTTTGATTCCAAAACAAAGTACAAGAAATAATAATAATAATAATAATAATAATAATAATAATAATAATAAACAACAAAATGAAGGTCAACATTCTCCAGTCTCAGTAAATTCTCCCTTAACAGACATAGGACTACATCTTGTGGCAAAGAAATATACTATTTAAACATTCTTTCTAAAAATGCATGTGTGGTACACCCGTCCTAACATTTAAACAGCGATTCATATATGACACACCCGGCTCTGAGATACAGTTGGAGGCCAATGTGTTTATGACATACTCATCCCATAAGGGTCATACTCATCCCGTAAAGTCTTGATGATTGTCTCTCAGAAACAAATATATTTCTAATTGTTAAATTTACAAGAATATAGTGTGATAATGCTCTTATATTGTGGCTTTGAAACACAAATCTACCATGTTTTAGCAGATGAAAATATTCAGAATATTTTCTAATGCTTGATGTTATCCCCTCAGTTTTCTGGAGTTCAACATTTCTTTCTTATATATACAAGTTATGTAGCTTGTATGTTATAATGGGGGAAGGGGAAGAAAAAGTTCCAATTTATATGCCAATAGATGTTAAGGTAAAAATACCTTCTGTACTTAGTTTTTTGTATTATCCATGAATTATGTGCTGTTATATAAAAAGGTACTCATTTGAGGAATTTGTTTTACATATGAAGTTTCTTATATTTTTAAATAATTATGTTATTTTTTGAAAGTTCAACATATATGTTTTTAAGTGCTTGTTATGCAATATTTTAAAACCAGAGCCTGTGCTTGTGTATATTGTATTACTAATCTGAGGCCTGGGGAAATAATATAATTACATTATTTGTTTTCATAGTAATTTATGTTTTATGTAATTTTATTTGTAAAAATTTTTGTTTTTATAAAAAATCATTTGTCAATATAATTAAATGAAACCAAGTTAAGTGGTTGCTTTTCTTAAAATAAGTTTCCAATCGAATTTCATGCTTTTTTCTCTATTAAAATAAAAAGAATAGTGAGAAGAAACAGAATATAGATGTAAAACATGTATAGATATCTTAAAGAAACCAGTTTGTTTTAATTTAGTCATATGTGTGTGTAACTTTATATTAGAAGATAATATAACCAGTATTACTTAATAATAAATATATTATTATCTTACTTTGCAGCTATTGCATAAGTATTAGGAAATTTATTTCGATTTCAATGAACTTCAGTGAATTCTGTTCAATTAACAATAATTAATAAATGCAAAGGTGTTTCATCTTTTACTCAAGTAAGAATGATGATGCCAAACTGGTAATTTTAGTTAAGGCCAAAATTGTAGTCGAGTTTTTTATGCAATGTAATATCTGAATTAAATATAAATTTTCATTACCTGTTGATTGTGAGCTGTGTAGTATAAGTGTTGCCAAGCTGTGAATTTTCTGAGCTCTTTCTTTATGCATCAGACCTGCAAATACAAATACCAAATTTATATGGTCGTTAAAATGCATTATATGTATATAAATACTGATGTATGAATTCACTTTAAGTCAAATTTAATATGAAATTGTCTGTTCTCATTCCATCAAAAAAGGAATTTGATTAAATTTATTACAGACAAATTTTGTCATCCTTTGAAACTCTACAGGTATATGATCATTTTCAAAAACATATAAACAAAGCATTATTATACGGTGTAGTATTTTGCATTGCTCTATTGCATAGTTGTCCATCCTTTCAGATACCACTAGCCACCACAAATAGGCCATGAGTTTTATAGAATTTGATAATTTTTTTAATGACCATGGTAAAACCCAATAAAAATACTTGAATAATATATATTTTAAGTTGCATATATGATTGCAGTTCTGAACATTTCATATGTAATTTTACATGTTAGTTATGAGCTAACACAATAGTAGTAAATGTACTAAAATGTAATATTAAAATCTTAAAAGTCTATATTTTCAAAAGTCTTGTAATAAAATGATAGTCATATTTTGGTTTTGTTTTCCTATATCTTAACAAAGTTCCAGAATAAATTAATTTTTTCAATAATTTAATTGATCATGCTTCATTTTCAAATTCAGTGTCATACTAACTCAACTTATTATTTGCTTTTTCATTATATGATACATATGTGATATGACTTACTGAACATAATGTATTATAATAAATAAATTAAGGGGTCTTTTTTTATCATGATGGACAATGCAAATAAAAAAATTTTCAGACCTTCATCACTTTAAGTTTTCAAACTAAGGCCGTTTCAGTTCCTTATGTTTATCTTTCATTTATCATTAAATTCAACTCTTTACTTTCTGAATGCTTCTTACTGTATGGTTTCTGGTTTCCCTTCAACCTGTTAATAAAATCTAGTTCTCAGCTTTAGAAAATAGAGTGTTGGGCATTAATTCATCAATCATTAATAAAATTCCTTGTAAATGTAGTTTTGCTTATATGTGGCAAATCCTAAAATCTTTAATTTCTTAATAAGCAAGTAGATTTTTTTAACTAAACTGATGCAAGTAAAAAAATCCTCGAAGTTTTCCACTATTGAAATGCAATCCATAAATATCAATTTTTGAATTATAATTCAGATATCTTGCTTGCACTAATTTACCTCTCAATTTGTATTTCTGAGAAGATTTAAAAATTATCGTGCGTATCAGTCTTGTAAATGATCCAACTTCATTCTCTTCCTGTCTGAGGTATGGAAAACTTGTTTCCAAAAAAAATTTTTTTTTTTTTTAAACCGACAGTACAATTTTTACTGCATTTTTCACTGTAAAAATAATGCGTTGGTAAAGTTGGCTTGAGTTCTAGTGAAATAAGTGGAAAAGTTCTGCTTTTCTGTGCTTTGAACTTATTTATATATTTCTGATTAAACTGCTCAGAGTTATTTTTCACAATTCACAAGCATACAGTATTAGTTAAATGTATCAGTTAAATGTTATGTATGTAATTTTAAATGAATATGTATTACATATAGTGTTCAGTATTATCTGTTATTCCACAGAAGCAGAAAATATTTTAAATACAGAGAGCGTTTACACATTTTAAAAACAATTTGTTATTTATTTATTTTTTAATTAGTGTTTAAAATGTAAAGAATATTTTTTTGATCTGATAGCCTTTTTTCTAATTTCTAAATCTACATTCTGAATTCCATGATAGAGCAGTTTTTGTATTAAAAATTTCCAGGAGCATTGATTTTTATTTCTCTTCCATTACTTTTCAGAGTTGTGGTAGGTTTGGTCTTAGAAAGAGCTCTTTTCAAAAGACCAAAGGCACAATAATCCATATCCATAGTCCATAGTGAAATATCAGGGTACTTTGCAGGAGCATGTCGGAAAGGTATATATGCAATACCCATATCGGTCTTCATTTTTTTCAAGGAATACAGTGGTAATTTTCAAAGTATGACTTTTTGATCTGTCATAATGAACTTTCACTCTTTGAAACTCATTGGGATAAAGAAATAGAATTTCTTCTATAAATATCTGATGTAAAACTTTCTGTTGATAGCAAAGTTTTTTTTTTTTCCAATGGCTATACAAAAAGGTACAAAGAACTAAAATCTTATTAACAGAGGTTAAAAGCAATTAAACTAAGAATAAAAATACCAAAGTCATTGCGTAAGGATGTTCTTCCCTCCCAGTATCTTGACTCTTCTGTAAGACCACAAAGAGCCCCACATCGAAGCCAGTGGTCCCTGTCTATTTCTTCTCCAGGATCGCCCGCCTCTGCGATGTAGGTGGGCGGCAAGGCATTCATGTCCTGTAGAGAGAGGGAAAGCTGCAGCTGCATTATTTCTTGAATTTTCAGAATAAGAGAAGGACTTATCATTTTCCAACTTTTTAAGGCTGTATGAGTCTGAAGATCGCATAAGATATCAGATATAAGTATTTTTTTTTAAACTGCTTAATCTTCCAATATGAAATATCTGCATTAGAATGTTGTAGTAAGCTGGCACCTCTTTTTGCAAGTTAATAGTAAAGTTCATTTTAGCATTTTTCTCCCACTATTAATATTTTAAATTTCCCATGTAAGAGAACCTTGCAACAATCATAAGCCCCTTACTGAAACTTTCTTTGCATTGATTAAACCAGGTTTGTATTTTTTTGTTTGTTTTTGTAGTCATTTATGTAAACCCATGCTTTGTCAAGTATTTTCATTTTTTTGCAATGTATTTTGTATTTTGTATTTTTTTTCCCATTCAGCAATGCTATTTCATTTATCTCCTGTTAAATGACTTTCACATAGGGTTTCTGTAAACTGTTCTGCATTGAGCCACATGACTTGGCATAAGTTGGTTAACATTATGTTTTTTAGCTTTTTAAAGCTGTGAATCTTTGTTTATTAGTTTATTTATTGTTGCTGCTAATGTATTTAAAAGCTTTGCAATTGATTTCTGCATTGGCGGATTTTCTCTTTTTTCCAACAAATTATGTTTAAAAATATTAAAAAACAGTATGTACTTTTTATGGCTGTTCATTTGAAGTGATCTTTCTGTGTAGAAACAATAATTGATGGTTTTCTATTTAATAATGATGATAATTTTCCATGTAGAAATTTTAATTCCATGTTTTTCATAATGTTTTCGAATTATGAATAAGGTGTTTTTTTCCTCCATTCTACATGCCTTCCTGGTGTAACCGAAAGCATACTCGATGCATATTTGGCAGGTCTGGAGTTTGGGTCCCAGTGAGGGCATTCCGCATTTTTCATGTTGCATCGATGTAACCTAATGGCTCTACATATTGAATAGAAATAGTATTTCTCTTTGAAAAGTGCAAAAACATATCCTTTAATCCCCAGGTTGTTTACATGAAACATTTTGAAAGAAGAATGAATTTAAAAGTAGCAGACAATATTCCTTATTTCAAACAGTAAGCTGCTGCTAGAAATTTTATTCCAAAACATTTGATTTTTAAAATTTTTTTATTGAAATTTTTTTAAAAAAATTTTAAGTACATTCTGTATACTATTACCAACAAATATGAGGGCATTATAGTATTTATTATTTGTTTTGCTTGTAAAATTAATATTGCAAAGGGTACAAAATCATAAATCGTGAAAATTCTAGTAATTAAAAGGAGGAGAAGAAAAAAGAAAAATTGAGTTTTTTCTTTAGATTTAGAAATTTGTGTTCAGATTTAGATGAAAGAATATTTTTAGAATATTAGAACTTTTTTTTTTGAAAGAAATACTAAATTATGAGGAAAATAGTGTTTAAAATATCTTCCCATTAGCCTTTTTTCCCCTTTTCTTACAGTTTTGAATTCATATTTTACTTGCAGTTGAAAATATTTTTGATATTTAATATTATCAAATTTCAAAATGTGAGCACTTCTGGGAAGAATTTTTTTTTTCTCTTGAAATTATTTTAACTCTCTTAAATCTATTATACTCTTGAAATTATCTTAACAGTAGCAAATGAAACCATAGCAATTTAGAATTTAGGACATATAAATATTTATAAGACATTGGCTAAAATATACTCTTTTGTTTATCTATAGATATGAAAAGTCTAGCACATTGTAAATTCATCTAAGCAGAAACAAGATTAGCATCATTCTCAGCCAGTAACTGCAGGATGCTAAAACAGCTGTGGGGATGGTTTTTTTCTCATGATGTAGGAATCATTCCTAGTATTAACAATGTTAACAAATTAGTGGTTAACAGTTCTCATCTAGGACTCCATACAGAATTTCTCTTATTTTTAAATGGAGGCTAGAATGCACTTATATAAACAATATTGAATTCTTTTTGAAATGATTCATCTGTTCATAAATCTCTTTGCATATAGTTTTATATTTAAAAGCTTTTTCTTAGCATTCTCATTGCTTTAATTACAGATTAAAGATAAAGTAAATTAAATTTAGATATAATGTTCTATTTTTGTTACCTGCCATGTCACTTTATTCTCTTAAACTGATTTGCAAGCATTTTGAAAGAAATACTTGAGAAACAGAATGGTGCATACAGTGAGTATAGACTAGAATCCTTGTGTATCCTTGAGTATAAAATAAATTCCTCAAAATGGAATCCTTGTCTAATTAGCTGTCAAACAAAAAATTATATCAGTAGATGTGTGCAACTGATGTAATTACAGATTAAAGATAAAGTAAATTAAATTTAGATATAATGTTCTATTTTTGTTACCTGCCATGTCACTTTATTCTCTTAAACTGATTTGCAAACATTTTGAAAGAAATACTTGAGAAACAGAATGGTGCATACAGTGAGTATAGACTAGAATCCTTGTGTATCCTTGAGTATAAAATAAAATCCTCAAAATGGAATCCTTGTCTAATTAGCTGTCAAACAAAAAATTATATCAGTAGATGTGTGCAACTGATGTAAATAGTACTGTAATATTTGAGAATATTTCATGTAGTATGATCATATAAAATAGTATTGGTTATTTTAATTATCATATTTACTTGCATGTTTTATTTTTGA